TCTCAGGCTGCATTAACAACCATGTAGTCCCACGAAGCCCCTCAACTTGTTGACACGCAACACAACTCTTCAAAGCCTTCACAACCTGCGAACACAACATTTCCTCTCCATACTTAACCTTCAGGAACTCTCATATCCTATCTACCCCAGCATGCGCTAAAGTCTGATGCACCAGCGTAATAACGTACTCTTGCAAAGGCTGGACAAGTTCTGACCATACACTTAGACCAATACACTTAAGCTGTTCGCTAGCCATTACATCCGGATCCCACATCTTAGTAATACCTCTCTCCATCACTGCAGTAACCTGCTGATGCAATAAACCCACACGAACCTTAAAGTCGGCACTGACCTTGTCATCAAGACTCTCCTCTAACACTCGCAGCTTCTCTTTAACCATCGCCAGCCGGACTCTCCTGTCTTCCATACTCTTGCAGACTTTATCAAATGACAAATCCACACCTTCATCAATCTCTGGCAGACCCGTTTTTGCACATGCAGCGAACTTCACCCTTTACTGACACAGGAACCATAATAGGATCAAACCACCACGGCATACGACTAAGTCCATCCACAACTTTGTTCTTTGGCCCTTCCAGGTACCGTAGATCCATATCAAACGATCGTACATACATAACATTCCTGTACCGTCTCTTACCCACTGGATCCGACGTGAGCTCTACCTGCTGAACCACACCAATTAAAGGCTGATGACCCATCTCTATTATAAGCACCTCGTACGATCTCCTAATCAAACCCGCGAACTTCAAAAACGCATATGCTAGCGCTATCAACTCTCTATCTGTCGGAGACAAATTAGCATGGAAATCTATCCTGGAACTCACAAAGCCCACAGGAAGCCATTCTCCATCTCTTCTCACACATAAGCAAGCACCTATACCCGAATATGACGTATCTGTCTGCAACCTAAGTTGCTCATCTTGTCTAGGTTCTACCAAGACTGTCTTCGCCTGCAAAATCTTCCGAGCCGGCTGAAAAGCCTTCTCCTGCTCAGGACCCCACTGGAACTGTACCTTCTTCTTAGTCAAATCACTAATTGGAGCCAACACCTTTGAGAAATTCGGAACGTATCTCGCCCACCATCCAAAACACTGATACCACGACCTGACTTCGGCTTGGGTTTGGGCCTGGACATATCTAATAACGCCTGAAGCTTCACTTTACTTATCATCGAACCCTTATCTGTAACCTCTCGACCCATCACGACTATAAAATCTTCTCGATACGCAAAATTATATTTTGACAGCCGCAACTGTATCCCTTTCGCCTCAAAGCGCCTGATCATCTTCACAATACCATCCCAATGCTCAGCTGGATCATCCGAACCTAACGCGGTATCATCAATGTACGTCTTAATTCCTTTAATTTCCTCCAATGTCTCATCCACTAGTTGTTGGAACACAAATGATGCTTCCTTCAAACCAAACGGCATCCCAATAAATTGGAATCTCTCGCCCCAGGGCGTCAAAATGAAGTAACCCCTCGACTACCAGGCTCTATCATTAACTGTCCAAAACCATTTCCAGCGTCCACATTGGTTCTCCACTTGCCCCCCTTAACTGTTGCCAGAAACTCATTTTCTGTTGGTATCGGATATGTACTCGAATCTAGCTGATAATTCGTACGCATATAATTTATGCACATCCTCCAATCCTTGGGTTCCTCATAACTGTAATTACTACCCGGCACTTTAGGCACAAGTTTTGGCACTGTAAACCAATCCGTTTCTTGCACCCTCTCTATCAACCCAGCTTCAAGCAATAGTTGGACCTTTTTCTTCATCACTTCTATAAGTCGCACATCTTTCTCCGCATATACTTGTCTTAAAGGCGCCCCTCCTTCCTTGATCTGAAGCTGAAGCATCCGATCCTTTACAAACTTCGGTTTCTTATCATTGTACGCCACCCTCCTAATAGCCGCCACCAACTCTGCCAATTATTTCATAGACTTCCCAGTTCTTCAGCCAACAGTTCCAAGCCACTCGTATCGAACAATAAATAATCGTTCTCACCTCCGGATCCATTACTTTCATAACCTGAATCATAACCCCCATCAGCTTGCATACTATCAAATGGTGTTACCTGTTCTGCCGCCACATGCTGAATATAATCTAACACCGGCTCAGACGCCTTTTTGTTCAGCCAGGTCTTAAAGTCTGATGGCTTCTCTCTTACCACCTCAATCGGAAACAGTGTATACTTAGTCACCCATTGCCTAGTGAGTACTGCCCCAGTTAATCCTTACCTATTCAATTCACGTCTACCTAACAACATACCCGCATTGTGTGGAATCCAATCCAAAACCTATATACCAACTTAACCCTCCTTTCTCCTACTAAAGTAGACAAAACAACCTCAACATCTCGCACCTTGTATTCCACATAAAGCGGAGCACCAAATCCCGTAACCCACTCTCCACACAAATCATACTGAGCAACCAGCCGCAGACGCTCTGCCAAACCCTTAGAAATCATCGACATATCGGCGCCTTGATCAAAAAGCATATCGACATAACACTGTCCACTCTCCAAATAACTATAGATCAACGGTTGGCCTGGTCCTTCATAACTAGCCGCCGCCGCATGTCATAATTCAGGTGTCTCATCTGCACTCATACGCACCTCCCCAGACGCTGCTGCCGCTACATTACCCCCGAATCGGGTTGTAGGACAGAATCTCGCATTATGACCTCTTTTGCTGCACGTATGACACACCACATCTTTCAACACAGGACACTCTTTCACATAGTGACCTTCCTTCTTGCAAAACAAGCAAGCCCCTCTCAGACCTGTCATCCCTGAAACCCTGGACTCCTGTCTAGCTACAGCTGCTTGCAATTGTCTTGCTCTCGCGGCTAACCTCGCCTGATGTATCCGGCCCGCTTGTTCCCGTTCTTCTTGAGACGCGCTATATCGTCTTCTCTCATCTCAAACAATTGCTCCAGCACCCGCCCCAACCCTCCTGCCTCAAAAATCTTCAGAACCATATTCTTCTCCGATTTGCGACTCGCAAATAAGGCTTTCAACAGACTTATACACCGCTCAGTCAATCATTTTAAACTCTCCATCACTACATCTTTAGAGCTCACATCATTTGCCGATTTAAGCAGCATATCTACATAGTCATCATCCCTCAGCATAGGAACCATCCAGCGTTTTTCTTAGCATTCCTACGAATCACCTTGCACAAAGCATCATACTCACGCCGTTTCTGTTTAGCCTTTATCTTCAACTTAGCTGCTGTCTTTGGCTTGTATGATGCATCAGCCTTCTTCCCTACTGTAACTGCCTTCACTGCAGGCACTCCTTTCTTCTTCTTAGCATCCTCATCCTCACTGTCGCTACTTTTGCTGTTATCACTGCTGTCACTGTCTCTAGCGACTTCCTCCTCAGTCTCATTTTCGCTCCGTTCGTCCTCAGAAGGCACCTCGGTGAATGGATCCCGTTCTGGGAGCACTTTCTTTGCTTCAGCTTTCGCCGCAACATGCCGAGCACCATAGTAATAAATCTCCCGAAGATGCTCAATAACCTTTTCAGGCTTGGATCCCCACCCTCATATTGCCTTCGCAAAATCCGCCTGGGTTCCACTCACTTCAACTGGGTCCTTAAACACTGAATACAATGCTGTAGCCGCGATGTACGGATCCTTTGTCTCAATAACAGTCTTACTGATATAGCCCTCTAGTTTCGACTTCGTCTCCGGTGTAACCTCCTTCAAAAGGGCCATCGCTGGGCGGGACCCTCCTTTCTTCGCCTTGAGCTCATAAGCCTTGGTACCCCTGACGTAAGCCCATCGATCCATAAATGTCGTCATCGGCTCCCCTTTCACATATCTCCAGAGAGGTTGCCCAGTCCCAGCTGCATTATCCTTCTCGTAAACCATTTTCCACTAACGTTTATTTGTAATCTAAGATCGACTCAAAACACAATGTAACGGTGAACTTAGATTTATTTCCTTGATTGTTGAATAAACGTCTAACTTAGCAGAATAAACTTCTTGAATGAACTAAACCACGTATTTATACTATCTCCGAAGGATTTCCTTGAGATTCCGGCCGCCAATCAAATCGTGTATCTTCTCAATTTCGAGCCTACAAGTCCATTCAACATATATCGTCATCTGCCAACCTCCAGCTCATATTACCCCGCACTTCGGTTCGCAAAGCACTAATCATACACCAATCGTTCGCCAACAAACCGCACAATACAACTTAAAACTTTTCAAACTTACTAGTTTTCACACTTATCAGTTATCGCCCACACTTAAAAACTCTCCACTCTTGTTAACGCCCAGGAACATTACCGAACAGTTCGGTACTTCCAACACCAACATTGTTTTAAATCGGAGGTAAACATGGTTGACATTACAAAAATACTCTTGATGTCCATAGTTATTGCATTAACCAATAACTTGCCACGTATCAAGAATTACCGACTTAGCTTTCATCAGACTGGCACATCTGGTTGGCTGAACGGAGGATAGACTAGGTAACGTTAATAGTCCCTAGAAACCTATATTTGGTTGAGCCATCTCGCTACCAAAGTATTCAGATATAAATAGATTTGGAAAGTCAATATAGTTCTACTAATAGAACTAGACCAAATCTTATGTTTGGTATTTTACTGGGGCCTTTTAATGGCCTTGTCCAAATATCTGTTATGTAAAATGGAAAAGGTATTATTTAATGAAACCGTTAAAACCCATTTAAGAAACTTAAGTTCCTCGTACTATTAAGAGTACGTTTATAGTTTACGTACTGCTTAAGAGTACGTTTATAACATAGAGTCTAATGTGGAGGCCCGGCTATTACAATAGCCTCGTTTGTAAAATTGCTCGCCACAACCTTTTAATCAGCGTCAAGAGTTGAAATGTAGTTCTTATGGAGCCGATTTAAATAACATTCACGACGTTAATTTCACAGCTCGAGCGACTGAGCAAGTCAGTAGCAAGCTAGAAAGTCGGAATCAGTCAAGTCAATCTATGGAACAGAATGATGCAAGTTTTATAGACTCGCTTGTGCAGTGTATCGACCTAGATGGCCACGTGAGGGGTGCACCATCCATACATGATAAGAACTCTCCTGGAAAGGATGCAGGCCACAGATTACAAAGACGAAATTTCAGCTACGATCAAATTCAGATTGCTGCCAATGATCCGATATCGGCAACACAATGTACTCAAGAGCAGCTTCCGGTGATAGAAAACGATGAGCCAGCACGTAACGTGGGTGAATCGTTAAAGTCTCTTCCGAGGAATACATCCGTGAATTCGTGGACACGTTGCGAGATTAGCTCTGCAATAGCCGAGTCTAGGTCCGGGTTCAATTTCCAGGGAGTCGCCAGTGAAGTCAGTCGAGGGACTTAAAAAATAAGACACCAGTAAGGTACGGAAGCAGCACCACAAGCAAAACAGATAGGGTTGAACATAGTATGAGTATGATTGAATTCTTAGAAACGTGCTCGCCACCCGGATCTCCAGGCAAGACCTCAAAGACCTCAAAGTTTACTTTCACAAAGTTCAAAAGTGTCAAGGCGGCAAAATAGACGAGACTTAAAAAAAGAATTTCTTCCGCAGGGGCTGAAAGCCAGAATTGGTTCTGACAAATAATAAAGGTCAGCATGGGCATTAATTGAAATTGAAATTCCTATTGCTGCGAAACTAGAATATTGTCGATCATCTGTGAGCAAGTTGTGCTTGAACGACTTTCGAATTGCTCGATTAGTGAGTACTAAATAGAAATACATTACAGCGTACTTTCACTGCTTCACACTTTCAGTGCACCTTAAAGGGACCATGCGTACATAGGTGAGTATGCAGAAGCTCCGCTTGCGGTGTATAGTTGTGAAACAATATGAGTTCAATTTGTGTTTTCTGCAATACACACTGTGAGAGACAGGATTATGTAGAATAAGCACACTACTGTATTCCAATTTCATATGTGCTCTGCACAAACATGACACCACTAGCAGATTCTCGAGTAAAATGTAGTGGAGGGTGAAGTCGGCAAGTGTGACGAACGTTCATTGGCATTCATATGGCTCATGGCCCATGGGTGTGAAGCATAAGCTTGTTGCAACTCGGTTAGATCGGCATGTCACACACAGATATAGACCGACTTTTTCTATCGCTAAATGTCCAAAAGCTGTATTTACTTTCATCTCTTGAAAATTGAGAACGGAGTCGGACGGACTAGAATGAGCAAATATTTATTATTTACGACGATTGGGACAAATTCTATTGGGAAATTGGCTTCCTATCAGGATCGCGTAAATACATTCGTTGTAGCTGACATTTCGGCACAGCACCACAGTCCAGGCACGGCAACCGGCTCGCTGTTCAAATAATCCAACACAGGCATGCACACATAATACCTTCCAGAACAACAGCAAACAAATGTTGTACGTATTCGTATAGGCCCTCTCATATCTCCACAAGAGGCTGACATGTCGGCACCTAAGAGCCCGGCCGAATTGATACGGCAGATCTCGCAGAAGAAAGTAGTCTCACCCAAGACTATTCGCAAGCATGCGTCCTCACCACGATTGCAATCACATCTCTCTAATGCACCCCAGGCCAGCTCTAAACTAGTGGGAGGCGATAGTCTGCAGACTCCTGAGAATGCGCGTATGTCTATACGTGGTTGTTTTGGTGCTCCGTTCGTTTACGGTGATATTTATGAACAACTGCAGTGAACAGATGACTGCGATATTGCCGTTCACGTGAAATTGTGAAACTTGTACGCGTATCATGAAGCATATCTTGTATAGCGATGTATACTTCACACGCACATGCACACACACACACGCACATGCACACACACACACGCACATATACACATACACACACATACACGTACACACACACACACACACACACACACACACACTACGACACACACACACACACTATTACACACACACACCATTTACACACCAACACTACACACACACACACTACTATATATATATATATAT